CTATTACTACAAGTGCTTCCAGTGGCCCGATATGTGTTTAAGGGTATGGCAGACAAACAGAAACGCATTATGAATGATATGTTAGATATGTTGAAGAATAAGTTTGTCAAACACTACGAGGACTTTGACGAGTCGTCTCAACGAGACTTTTGCGATGCACTCATCAGTGCTAAGAATGACGCCCTCAGAGACGGCAAAGAGTCCGCACCCTATCTGACCGATGATAACCTCTCGATGACTATATTTGATCTGTTCTTCGCCGGAACCGATACCTCTCAGCAGACATTTCAATGGCTTTTGTTATTCCTCTGCTATTATCCAGAAATGCAGCAGAAGTTGAGACAAGAGATTGAGTCCCAAATTGGAGACCGAATGCCAACACATGAGGACAGGAATCGATGCCATTATGTCATGGCTTTCATCGCAGAGACCATGAGATACAGAAATGTTGTGCCATTGAGTCCATTGCATAAAACTGTTGTTCAGACAAAAATTGGTATCAATTTTTAACATATTCTAAAATATGCAAATACAACAAATATTACTTTACAGGTGACCATACTGTGCCAAAGGGTACTGCAGTGACATTATATCATCACAATATACTAAACAATCCAAAATATTGGGAAAATCCTCATCAGTTAATACCGGAGCGATTTCTGGAAAGCGACGGCCAATACATGACATCCCGTAATAAGGCATTCATCCCCTTCGGTGTGGGCCGTCGGGTCTGTTTGGGCGAGAAGTTAGCCATCGCTGACCTGTTCCTGGTTTTGGTCTCATTTCTTCAATCAACACAACAATACGATATAGTTTTGGCCAAACACTCGGGTATAGACCCCGACCCTAATATTGCCGACAGTATAAATCCTAAACACTATGAAATCAAACTTGTTCAAAAATTATAACAAAATTCTTATTGATTGTTTACAAGTTATTTATATGTGTAATTAATTATAAATATCAATTCATTTATTAAATAAATCATTTATTATATTTATAAAAATTGAAATTAATATTTAATTAATACTATTGTTAATAATATTTAAAATTACAATTTTTTTAAATAATAGTGTTTAAAATAATGTTAAATAGTGAACATTCTTCATAAATAAGAAGTATAATGAAACACATAATTAGTGTTCAACTAGTTTATTATTTTTTGATGGATAAAAGTTTTAAAACAATAAGCACACAGTTCAATTTACATGTTTGCGATTTAAATGTAGTTTCAATTCACTTTTCCTAACAAACCTTTGATTACAATTATTATGATTACATTTATGGTTTCTAATATTATTGTGCCTTTTAATATGATCATTTAAACTAGTTTTTGTGCTAAAACTTTTGTTACAATCATTAAAATGACAATTAAATAGATTTTCTCCCGAATGTATGCGTTTGTGTCGAATTAGACTGGATTTGTTGTTAAATTTTTTGCCACAATTTTCTTCATTACATTTGAATTTCCTTTCATTCAAATGAACACAACTTTTGTGTCGAAGTAAATACTGTTTTGTTTTATAACTTTTGTGGCATTCATTGAAATCACAAACAAATCTTACTTTTAAATGTACACTATTTTTGTGTTCAATTAAATGATGTTTACGTGAATACAATTTATTACAATTAGCAAAATTACATTTAAATTGCTTTTCACAATGACTTATTTTATGAATATCCAAATAATGTTTATTATGTGTTTTAAATTGACATTTAGGCCAAAAACAGTGCAAATAATCATCAGATTTAGTAATGATATGACAATTGTTTAGCAT